AGCGCCCGGGGCGAGCCGCAAGCCCCAACCGTGGAGGAGGAGGCCAGCCGAGTTCGGGCCGCAGAGTGGATGATGGTGCCGAAGCCGGGTCCCCGAAGAAGAAGGCGAAGAAGAAGCGGTACGAAGGCGAGGACCAGAGTGTCAAGCAAGATGGCGTCTTCGTGAAGAACCGGAGGGGAGCCAAGATTTGTCCCGACTACAACAAGGGCAAATGCGGCTCCAAGAAACCGCAGAGCAAATGCAAGGATGGCTGCAGTCACCAGTGCAATCTTTGCCTTGGCCCACACACGGCAATGGATTGCACCCGCAGCTGACCCGAGCCAGCTCCAGCTGATCCTAGGCCCGCAGCCGGCTCCTCATCGGGTTCACCGGGGGGCGCTTCGGCCAGCACGGGACCTCCCGGCACCACCCATGGCGGCAGGTTTGTGCAGCCCAAGCCGAAGGTGAGGGCAGGAGCAGACCCGAACCAGGGTTTGGTGGACCGCACGGCACAGTCGAAAGCGGCCGGAGCTTCGCCGCCCTCAGGCCAAGGCCATGCCAAGCCACCCACGCCACCCAGGCCCTTGAAACGCAAGGCCCAGGCAGAGGCTAGGCCAGCGCTGGGCCGGAAGCGAGGGCAGCCTAAGCCAGCCACTCCCGTTTCTGGAGCCACGTCCTCAGCAGAGGCACGGCCGGAAGGGAGCAAAGCAAAGAGACCGCGCAGAACCGGAGCAGTGTCTATACAAAGAGCTTGGTGCAGGTGCCTCCCGTGGAAAGCACCTACCCCGACTACGAGCCTCTGGCACGCGGACCTCGAGAGTACGGGACGTGGTTGGAGCAGCCCTCCGACTCCTTCGTCACAAGGCCCTGGCTACTGGTGCTCTTCAGCGGCCGCCGTCGAAAGGGGACCTCCCGAACTGGTTGGCACACTACGGCCTCATGGTGTGCTGCCTCGACCTCGTCTGCGACACTCCCTGCGACGTGTTGGACGAGGCGAAGTGGAGCCAGGTCGAGAAAGACATCAACGACGGCAACTTCGCAGCATGCTGGGCTGCGACTCCGTGCGGCACCTTCAGCCCTCTTCGTGAAGTACGTCCGGGGCCCCGGCCACTCCGCACGGTCGAAGAGATTGAAGGAGTGGGGGGCCTGTCCCCAAAGGAGAAGGCGCAGCTGAAGGAGGCCAACATCCTGGTCGAGCGCACCTTCGACGCCCTTTCTTTGATCTGGGACCACAAGGGGACCTGGGGCTTGGAGAACCCCGTCCATGGCAGCAACAGGCCCGAGCTGTGGCAGATGCCGCTCATGCGCCAGCTGGCCCAGCTGGATCGCACGTCTGAGGTTGTCTTCGATCAGTGCCGGCTTGGCCTCAACACTGTGAAGCCAACCAAGATTTTTATTCAGCTCCCACGCCGTCGGCTTCAACGAGCTCCGTGGGCTCAAGTGTGACCATCCGAAAGGCAGTCACGAGAGCACGGCTGGCAAGCGGACGCGGGATGCTTCGGGCGAGCACTGGGCCTCTCGGGTCCAAGGCGAATACCCGCCCCACCTCTGCCAGGTCGTCGCCCACACCCTCTTCCAAGGCATCCGCCAGCGAGCCTTGGAAACCGAGGATTTGTGCAAAGAAACTGACCCGGGCCTGGAGTTCCAGGCCCTCGTGCCCAAGGAGCCCAGGACAGAAAGAGAGGAGCAGAACAGCCAGGCACTTGGCGGGATGAGGAACCCGCGCCGCTCTTTGGACAGAGTCCAGGGCGCGCGCCAGGTAGGCCGCGCCCTGCATAAACTGTTGCGGGGCTGCTTGGCCAAGTGGCCGGGCCTCAAGCTGCCGGCCAAGGCCATTCTTCGGGGGGAGGCGCCGGACGAGCTGGGCGACAAGCTCGTTGACAAAGTCAGAACGGCCGTGCTCACAGTTCTGGGCGCACCGGACGAGGTGCGACACAGGCACCGAACGGATCGTCTCAAATGGTGTGTTCCCGGAGGTCAGCCCCAACGGCACACTCCCGCACGCCACCCTGGACCACAGA